TACTTTGCGTGACGTGTCTGTATACTTTATGACGTGCCTGTATACTTTGTGACGTGTCTGTATACTTTGTAACGTGTCTGTATACTTTGTGACGTGTCTGTATACTTTGTGACGTGTCTGTATACTTTGTGACGTGCCCACTTATAACATAATCATTGCGGCTTCGAAACCTCAATTAATTATATATTCACAAGTAAATTAGAATGACTTGTTACATTTTTTGCAATTTTTTCTACCTTCTTGCGCGTCTGCAACGTAGGTAATCCCTAGATGTGTGCTATATTTTTTTATGGCAAAAATAACTGCCACTAACGGAGGCCAAACCATCAATGAACCATCCAAGTGTCATCAAATTAAAGTCATTGACATTTCCATTATCCAACATATGAACTGCTGCATATAATGTTTATTTATTAATTAGCAGAATTACAATGATTGCTAGGACTAGCTTGGTATGTTCTCACATAAACATCCATCTAAATACCTATGTTAAGAATTGATTAATGGTATGAATAATTTTTTTATTTTCCTAGCGGTTCGTCAACATCATATATAATCGCTCAATTGAAATAGATTAATCACGTAATTATAACAAAATCGTTCGTAAGTTTGATTATTGGTAGCTTTAAGTGAATACATTTTAATTTGTAAGGCTAGACTAGAGAGTAATTTTGTAGTTGTTATCTATTTGTCGAATAAGAAGTTGTAAGTACGAATAACAGACTTCCAAGGGACCCTATCCCAAATATATCACGTCCTTAAACTATATAATAATAGAATAAAAATATTAAATTTATTCTTAAAGATAAGAAAAAACTCCTTTAGTAAAACTAAAACTATTTTGGAGGAAAAGCACTGAAATTAAATTTATTGTTTTTACATTATAACAAACAATCATCATTATGGATATTGTATACATTACATTACGTTTCATTATACATTATTAAAAGCGCACTGAAATGTTCGCTACAAATACCGTAGACTTACAACCTTCAGTCCATCAGCCCGCCGAAGCGTTGCGAAACTATTTCTTTAATACATATTGAAATTACTTGCATACTCTACAATATTTATATCATTTATATATTTAAATACTGTAAATATCATTATCATTCCAACATTGCACATTGGAAGAAATTCTCCCGATTCTGCAATACATATTAAGCGCCACATATATTGTACTTTACATATTCATAACGCTTCTCTCGGTTGGGAAAACAAATTCCTTTACTGATGATCTATGATAAATAAAATATGATCATTTATTAAAATATGCACATTCATTAATGAGGATCAACTTTAGAAAGTGGAGTGGAGGGTGATAGAGGCTGGTGATAAGTGGAGGTTTATAAAGGCTGGTGATAAAAGGGTGATAGAGGCTGGTGATAAAGTGGAGGGTGATAGAGGCTGGTGATAAAGTGGAGGGTGATAATGGATGATGCACTATTGCAATGGCACCGCTATCGTTACGTTAAATATTTATTCAACTATTAATACAGATTTATAACAATATTATTTAATTAAATTAAGTAATATGTAATGACTCAACTGAAGTGTCGGTGTTCTCGTGTCTGAACTGTTCGTTGGAATTTTTTATGATCTAATTCTGATGATTGAATGTCCATGTATTTAATTTTTATTGTTGCGCCTAAACTAACATTAATTAAATAATAATAATAAATAGAAAATAAAAATGAATAACCTTAATAAATTAAAAAACAAATAAATACTGTCAAACTCATTAACAACCACTCATTAATACGTAGAATCCGACTTTTTCGTTAAACTAAACTGTGGAACGAAACTCATTACACCGTGAAAAATTAAGTAGTCTGTAAAGTTTAATCCATTATAAAAAATTTCATTAATTAATAAAAATATTAATTAATTCTAAATTAATTAATTTTTATTCATTAAAATTTTTATGACTTATTTTATTAACACCCTAGTTAAACTACACAAAACCGTCTAATTAGTTGTACTCATAGTCTCATTAGAAAACGGTTGATTTCTAACTAATAAGAAGCGCATAACTCATTAATCAAATATTGTTAATTCACATTCCACGGCCGGCCACCGATACCCCGCCCCTGGCCTCAAGTGCTATCAAGTTAAGTACATTAAGTGTGGGCATTTCGGGCATTACACGAGTGCTATTTTTGGGCATTACATGAACACTATACACCCTCCCTGGAGTGTACAATACACCAGCACAATAGCAACACTCGACTTACACGCCGTAATGCCCTAAACCGCCCAAAAATGCCATCCATACCCACAAAAAAAGGTTTACCCCAAACACGGGCATTTCTGTACCCATAATGGGCACGATGGTGTAATAACACTTGGGGTATAAAGGTTTAGGTAGAACCTGCTGATAGTTGCGAGTTATCGCCGGATTATCGCTGGATGCTTATAATATCTCGGTAGTAAAGTGGTTTAATTGGAGTGTTAATGAAATAATTATAACTATGAAGTTATTTTTCGATAAAGGGGTTTTAATATAATTATCAATATATTTAAATATTTGTATACAGTGAGTTAAAAAAAATTGGATTGCCCTCATCACGCTAGGGCATGGAACGCTGACTCACTCTCTAGCCCACCCAGCACACCTAGACCACATACCACTAGCTAACACATCCAGCACACCAAACCAACACAACACTCACCCAGCCAACCCTGCCCACCTCAACCAGCCCACCCAACCTACCCAGCTCAACCAGCTCAGCACACCTAGCTTACCCAACCCAACCTACCCACCGCACCCAGCCACTCAATCTCAACCCACCTATCTCACCCACCCCATCCACTTCAACCACCCCAACCCCATCTAGCTTACCCACCCAACCCAGCTCAAGCAGCCCAGCCCACCTAGCTTACCCACACAAACCTTACCCACCCTACCCACCCTACCCACCCTACCCACC